TGTAAAGTGATATGTATGTCAATGCCACTTTTTTTTTTTTTTTTTTTAACAGGTTTTACTGTTATGTTACAAAATGGATTCAATAAAGTGCAGCTTATTTTGACTAGCTGTGACTACAGTAATGATCTTTTAGTGACTGTGAAGATGCCTGCCTGAGATGGTGACTAATTGCTTTTTGCAAAAATATATGACTCATAAGCTTTGGTAATGATGTGGACTCTGATGTAGTCACCAGATTATTAGGCATCGTGCGTTTCGTCTGTGCATACAGATCAGATTCAACACCCTCTTACTTTTCATGTAAATCCCAGAAGAGAATCAAGCATGGAGTGTTTATATGCTTGTATTGTGAGTCACCTTGAATAAAAGTGTCTGTCCAATGAATACATCAACTATATTACGTTTGCGTCAACTACGGTCATGCGAAAATCACACGAGAGGGAGAAAAGAGTACAACGCCCAGTGTTCGGCGTGTGTTTCACCTGTTTGTGAAAAGGAGAGACACAAAACAGCAGTGTGATCGAGAGATTTAAGGCAGCGAGTGGAAATAAGCATTTGGACACTTTATTATTTAATATACGTCCAGTGCATATATCCACTTCACATTTACACACATAATGTGTTTCGACTTTGTATTTATAAATATGAGCAAAAAAAGTAAGCATTCATAAGAATAAGAAAAGATATGTATGCTTTCAGGTCGTCCTGCAGCTCTTTTTCGAGTGACCGCTCGAAATATTTTATGCGTAAAAATAAACTATGTTTTAGGTATAAATGCTTCAAAAAAAATTTGTGCACCTGGTTTTGTTAAAAAAAGACATTGCCTTTGGGTGGGAAGATTTTGTGCAACAAGTAGCAATCATGGTAAAGGGTTTAGGAGGTACTCTCCTGACCAGCAGAGTGGCGCAGCGGAAGCGTGCTGGGCCCATAACCCAGAGGTCGATGGATCGAAACCATCCTCTGCTAACATTTTTTTTTTTTAAGGGCAGTGGTAGCTCAACTGAAAAGGCTCTGGGTTAATGATCAGAATGCTGGGGGTTCAAACTCCAGCTCTGCTACTGGCGGGCCCTTGAGCAAGGCCCTTAACCCTATCTGCTCCATGTTTGCTGTATCCGTGCTCTGACCCCCAACTTCCTAAGCTGCTATGTACGAAGAAAAGAATTTCACTGTGCTGTAATGTATATGTGACAAATTAAATCTTCTTCTTCTTCTTTTTCTTCTTCTTCTAATGTCCTCAAGGACAACATTATTAAAGAACTTTGAAATGGAAAAGATCCATAACAAATACCTTAAACACCTTAAATACCTTCACTGCATAAAGGAGTGGTAGCTCAGTGGTTAAGGTGTTGGCTTACTGAGTAGAAGGTCATGAGTTCAAGTCTCAACACTGCCATTGTGGGACCCTTGAGCAAGGCCCTTAACCCTATCTGCTCCACATTTGCTGTATCATACCTGACCCCCAACTTCCTAAGCTGCTATGTATGAAGAAAATACTTTCACTGTGCTGTAATGTATATCTGACAAATTAAGTCTTCTTCTAATGTTCTCAGGGACAACATTATTCAAGAACATTCAAATGGAAAAAGCTAGAGATCCATAACAAATACCTTCAATACAAAGAAGAGTACTAGCTCAGTGGATAAGGTGTTGGCTTAATAATAATAACCTTTATTTAACCAGGTAAGACAATTGAGAACCAGTTCTCATTTACAATGATGACCTGGCTTACTGAGTAGAGGGTCATGAGTTCAAGTCCCAGCACTGCCACTGTGGGGCCCCTGAGCAAGGCCCTTAGTCCTCAACTGCTTGCTGTATAAAAATGACATAAATGTAAGTCATAAAGGTAAACATCTCTCTCGTCTCATCTCAAGACAAGCTAGCAGTCAGTGGAAAAGAGTTACAGGATGACCTGAAAGCAGCAGGAACCATTTAGACAAGTCAGAACTCTTTTGGGACAAAACAAATGTAGAACTTTTTGGCAATAATTCAGCTTGTTATGTTTGGAGAAAGAAGGGTTGTGCGTATGATCCCAAGACGCGTACCCACAGTGAAGTACAGAACGAGGAGCTTCATGATATCGGGCTGCATCTCTGCAATCGGTAGTGGGGCATTACAGCTCATCATGAATAGAGCAATGTCCCAGTACATATTAGAGGAGAATTTAATCACTTTGGCCAAGAAACTGAATCTGGGGGGAAGACAAGAAAATGATGACAAACCTGCCGCCAAAATAACGCAAGACTGGTTTCTAAAAAAGAAAGTGAAGGTGCATCCTGACTTTATTTTTGGAGGATTTTGAAATTGCAAATCCATCAGTGGGACCCTCGTAATCTTGGGAAATTCCAGATGATGTTCTTCCAATCTTCCAACTTTAATCTTCCTTGAAAATGTCAAGCGGATATCTCAAGGCACCAAGAAATATCTATTTGTAGTTTATACATTTGATTAAGAACCAATCAGTTAATTTCTTGTTGTTGATAATCGGTAAATGATTAACTGTGCCAACTTAAGAAATATTCATTTGCTGAACTTTTGCTTCTGCACCATGAGGAAGAGAATGAGGCGTTCTAGCTCAGCTCCTTCAGCATCACTGTGACGGATACGCTGTCACACTAGTATTCGGTTGCCATGGAAACTAGATGTTGAATAGTGGCAGCAGTGTAAGACCTGCTTCCTGAAATAGATTAATATTTCTTTCTTACAAAGACACATTGATCCAAATGGACTCGTTGTACAACAAGCATGCATCACACATTTGGCATGACCTTCTGCATGTGTACGTGCATGCGTCAAGCGTGCAGATGCAGATGAATAAGCTGGCTTTCTACGTTAGTAAAAATAAAATGGGTCAGAAATAACATTTACACATTTTCAACTTTTCTTAAATGCAGCATGTCGGGTAAGACTGCAAAACGTGGTGCCGGTGTTCCCGGGATAGACTCTGGATCCACCACAACCCTGACTAGGCTGAAGTGCTTTCTGGAGAGCAATCAATGAATTTTACTGATGCAATGAATTTCAAGAGAGACTCATTGCTAGTAGACTTTACACAACATTAAATGTAACTATAAATGGTTAAAAAGCACAACCTGTTAATTGTTAATAAATTCAAAACTGTAATCACTTAGTGTAAGACTGCAGCACACCAACCTGACATTGATTATTTTGCTGTAAGATCCTGGTGGGGTAAAGTCCTGATGATGGGCATAAGCCCCTGGTTGGACAAAACTCCATGATGGACAGAAACCACTCATTGGACAAAGCCCCATGATGGACAGAAATCTCTCATTGGACAAAGCCCCATGATGGACAGAAATCTCTCATTGGACAAAGCCCCATGATGGACAGAAATCTCTCATTGGACAAAGCCCCATGATGGACAGAAACCTCTCATTGGACAAAGCCCCATGATGGACAGAAATCTCTCATTGGACAAAGCCCCATGATGGACAGAAACCTCTCATTGGACAAAGCCCCA